TTGCGTGATGCCTCTAGCAGCCTGGGTGTTACTGGCAACCTTTACCTGGTGTTCCTACGCCCACGCCGCCCATGCTGCCCCAGTCCCGCCCGTCGCAGCCGCCCTCAGCTCTCCCTCTCAGGACTTTGGCTTGAGCAACAGCGAAGACGACTCCGTAGCTCAGCCTGAGAAGAGATTGCTCAAATATTTCCTCCCAGGAAGCCAGGCATGGATGGACGATGGCGGAGACTTGTACCCTATCAGGCAGGAGGGCTCCAAGAGAGCCTACAGCGATAGGAACTTCCTGAGGTGAGCATGTTGTTGTTGTTGTTGTTGACGTGAGGAGGGAAACTGGAAGCTGCAGTGAGACAGAGAACGGGAAGGTATAGTGAGAACGGGATGCTGAAACTTTGGATTGTTTTTGGATGACTTGAGAGAAAGAAAATGTGAGGCTGAAGTTGTAGATAACATGGATATTCAAGCCCAAGTTATGGGAGGCAGTGAGTGTAGCATCAAATGGAAGTTTACTTTTGGTCGAGCTGAAGGAAGGACGAACCAAGATATGAGTTGATTGAAGAAAGTGAAATGAGTGTTCAAGTTCAAGTTCAAGTATGTTTATTGAGATAAGCAATAAATACATCTCAAAGGGATAGAGTAGCTTAGGCTATTTCTATCCCCCAGTGAAATGAGTGTTTGATGTAAAGTGCTTATGCTATGTCGAGCTCTATTGTTATTATATCTATTGATGATTTCGATGTATTCGTCTTCACCTTCATCATTAATCACCTTTGTGTTTCCTCTCCAGGTTTGGACGCAGCGATGTGGACAAGAGAAATCGTAATTTCCTCAGGTCCGTATTGTGGAAACACAAAATATTTCTTAACATTCTTCTATAACATTTTCTTGAAAATCGAAGGTCCTACTCTTATTTTCGAACATTAACTTGCACCTTATCTGGGACACGAGATTTAATAATTAATTTGGTGTAGAATTTTGAAATGTGTGAACACATATTTTCTGTTTAACATAATTCAGTGGCTTAGTCGTTGTTTCCTTTGATATTATATTGACATTCTTAAATGAAGATACCCAGAAACATACATAAATAGCCTCGCTACCACAGGTTCGGACGCAGTGATCTTGGTGACTACGACAACAGCGACGACGAGACTTTCAACGACTCACACGTGAAACGAAGCCGAAACTTTCTGAGATTTGGCCGCTCCGTGAACCGTCAGCTTAACGCCCTGTCTTGTGATGGCTGTGATGAGCACAACTACCCAGGAACCAACCCTATCCCACCACCCATCCCTGTCCAGTCCATGGTTCCCGCCAAGCAAGACATCGCCCACACCATCGAGTCCCCAGAACCCGATGACAGCACTTCTCAGCGCATGAAGAGAGCCGCCGTTCCAACCGCTAATGACTACGGGTCAATGTCATCCTACAGCCCCATCGTCTGGGCCAGAGGATTCCAGCCTGAAGAAGAGATAATCACCGTGTCCTCAGAGGATCCACAGGACGTAAACAAACGCGCACTTGATCGTAACTTCCTGCGCTTCGGCCGTGATCGTAACTTCCTGCGCTTCGGCCGCAATCGTAACTTCCTCAGATTTGGCAAGCGGGACAGATCCAACGAATACCGGCCATCCTCGCCCTCCGAGTCCAGCGAGTCCCTGGTGGCGGTGAGTCCAGCTGAGTACTCCCGCAACGTGAGGGCGCCCCAGAGAAATTTCCTCAGGTTCGGTTGAAATGGAAGAGAAAACCGGCCACCACTCTTAAACCTTCGACGATATACTGAGAAATTAACTTTAGGTATATGTGTAAATATTTATTTCTGCATTGAAAATCATTTGAGTTATGTGTTGAAATGCACATTTAAGATTAGAAAACTCTTACAGTTATATGAAAAACTGTATTGTTTGCCTGAATTGTATGCTGGTGACGTAGACAGATTGTGCTGACGATTTAGAACTTTATGAGGAACATACTAATGTATAATGAACTTATGCAATGATAACATTTAATATATGATTTTATCAAAGGCTGAATACCTGTAAGGTTATATATTATATAACTTTATTATCTTTCTCCTTTATAGTTTCTAAGTATTTAAAATACTTGAGCTGTGATATTTTTAGACATGAGAATCTTTTCAATAAATGACCTGATAATATTACATAAATTCTTTTAATTACATAAAACCCACTAACCCACATACATGTATATCATTGCTACATATTAACGCCAGAATATATTTGTTATTGATACAAGAACAAAAAATAAAGATAGTTTCACTACGTATAACACTAGTATACTAGTGAGTGACTTGCGAGTGTTTCGAATATAAACAATTGATCAGATTGATATTGATTCATCGACCAATCGCAGCTCTCCTTAGATATGAGAACTTGCCATTTCTGAAAATTAAGGATCAGTCAATGAAAATAAAAAAAGGCAAAATCTAACTGATTTAAATTATAGGTTATCTTCTTGGAAACATTAATTCTAGCATCGTGAACGTCTCTGATTTAAATACTCTCAAAAATCCCAGTCACAGAGAGATGCTTGTCAGAAATACCGAAAAAGTCGGCAGATATAGAACCAACAGTTGGCTCTACATAGCTGAAGCATTTGACACCAAACACCTTCATGAACTTTCGAAAAGTCAGGCCATAACTTGGTTTGTCCTCTTTGAGTATTACTAAGAAAGAACTGCCAGTGGAGGGGAGATATCATCACTAGGACAGTAGGGGTTGTGAGGGTAGATACCGTCACTTAGACAGAATGGGTGTTTTCTATTTCATTTTTCATATGCGTCTGTGTTTTGTATTTTGTGCTTTTGTGTGTGTGTGTCGAGATTGTTGTGTTTTTCTATGTTAATATGCGTCAATATAATTAAAAAGAATATAGTAAAACTGTAAAAACAAAACCGGAAAAAAATGAATTTTTTATCCCTTTATCAAAGTCTTCGGAACAAGATCGATATATTTCACTAGGAATGAGTCGGAATTTAGGGAAGATATTTCTAATATATTTAACAAAGATCCATGTGTGAAAATCATTGTAAATGTTATTTAATATGGGTATTTGCAATGCATCAGGGCAGATGTATTTGACTAGGAGTTATTGTCTTTCTTCAAAGTCTAGTACCAGTTAGATGTGTTTTACTTGAATCGAATTTACTTAAACATCTTCAAAAGGGAATCACAAACAAGAAGAAAACTTGCATCAGGAAGAGATGGATCCAAAGTCTGATAACCTCTGGTTAAAGATCATCAGTAATAAACATCTGCAGACATAATCCCACCACTAAACCGGCAAGACGGGACTCTTGCAACCAACAAACAGGAAAAGGCTGACCTACTGGCAAACCATTCTGCTTCCAAGAGGCAAGTCACTGATGCAGAACGACAACTTTCACAGCTTGATCTGTACATTGTGTCTAAGTTGTCTGGCGTAGTTATTCAACCACGATGAAGTCCAAATATACATAAATCACCGGATATAGGTAAGGCAATGGGGCCGGATAGGGTCAGCCCAAGACGGTTACACCAATGTGTCGACCTGATGGCTTCGCCTCTCACACACCTTTACCAATCTACCAAGCTCAAGGAATTTGGTCCATACGGAAACAAGCAGATACATCTACAGTTCACAAACGATGAGTCGTTCAAGTTATTGGGTAACTACAGACCAGTGTCTGCTTTCAGTTACTGGATAATTTCTCGAGACATTAATTTCCGCAAATTACAGAAATGTTGACCATCATTGGAAACTAAATGGTATTTAATTTGTTTTATGGGAAAGGTCATTCTGCTGTTGACCTTTTGCTGAACCTCTCCCCTAAATGGCATCAAGGACTGGATGACTTCACAATAAGCTCAGTTGTTGCACTGGATATTCCAGGAGCCTTTCATCGAGTATGGCACTCTGGGCTGCCAGTTAAAACCAGAAGCACTTTCTATTTTAGCTTTCATTTTACTGATAATAAATAACTACTTTCGATAAAGCACTCTGGGTGTTTCTCTCAGTGTTGCGGAATCTGAAAACAACTCAGTTGGAGGCAGCATACCTCAGGAAGTGTGATAAGCACTTCGTTGTTTAATGTCTAAGTCAACGGTATACTACACCTTATCACTGAAGCTGAGACCTATGCTCATGAACCTCTAAACTTTTTAAATATGGAAAAGAAGAACTTCCAACTACAACGAGGCTCATTAATAATAAGCTTTCACCAATATCTACCAGAGAAAGGCGATGGCAAGTCACATCAGTCAAAACAATACAAGCGATCATGACAAAAATACAGCATGAGATTCCGACTGAGAGAAGTATACAAGTGGTATAAACCTTGAGTTTAGAGACGCAGTTTATATTTCAGTAATGACGTTTGACTCTCCAATGGCATAGAAGAGTGCCCTTCTTAACCTAGCAAGGAAGAAAACCAACAAACATTCAGCCTTACGATGAATCTCCAACTTCGGTACCAAGATGAGTATGCACGGCTCTCCAGGATGGCCTGACACCCCCCCCCTCCCCTCATACATCCATACTTTAGATTTTTGGACAAAGTAGAAAACCTTGGGAGAAGACTCACCTCAAGTCTTGAGTCGTTCTGTCTGTGCTGGTAAGTACATCAGAGCCTTCAACACCGCAGAGATGTCAGCACACTTACTATTATGTACAATGAAAATGTTCTCAAGGATTCCAATTTAGCCCAAATTTGCGGTGCACAAGAAGTTGACAATCACACAAGTTGACAAAAACAGCTCTAAGTTGCAATTTTTTATTAAGAACATCAACATAATTTATAATGAGCTCTACACTAAGTTGAGAGAGAGAGAGAGAGAGAGAGAGAGAGAGAGAGAGAGAGAGAGAGAGAGAGAGAGAGAGAGAGAGAGAGAGAGAGAGAGAGAGAGAGAGAGAAAAGGCTTTTCCTACCCACAAATAATTTATAGAAAGAAGAGACTAAATCAGGCCAATAAGGTGCCAAACGTATCCAATATCAGAGATGAACAATGACACTTCACCCCGGTAGGGGAGAGAGGAGACATGGTCGGTGGGCGGCCAATGGCCATGTAGGGGAAAAAGGGGGCGTGGTCAATAGTGGGCGGGGCAAGAGGGCAGGGGTGGTGATGGGAGTGTGGGAGTGTCGGTGGGTGGGGTTGTCGGAGGTTGATATAGGGCTCTCACCCAGCCACACCATCGCACTCTCACACACTACCATGACAAGGTAAGTCGCTCCTGCCTCCTCCAGACTGCTAAGGAACCACCTAGCACACAGGAGTCCTGTGTGCTAGGAACCTCCAAGGTGCTGGTGACTTCCTACACACACACACACACACACACACACACACACACACACACACACACACACACACACACACACACACACACAGTAACCAGTGTACTTCTCTCATCCTCAGGTCTTGCGTGATGCCTCTAGCAGCCTGGGTGTTACTGGCAACCTTTACCTGGTGTTCCTACGCCCACGCCGCCCATGCTGCCCCAGTCCCGCCCGTCGTAGCCGCCCTCAGCTCTCCCTCTCAGGGCTTCGGCTCCAACAACAGCGAAGACGACTCCGTAGCTCAGCCTGAGAAGAGATTACTCAAATATTTCCACCCAGGAAGCCAGGCATGGATGGACGATGGCGGAGACTTGTACCCCATCAGTCAGGAGGGCTCCAAGAGAGCCTACAGCGATAGGAACTTCCTGAGGTGAGCATGTTGTTGTTGTTGTTGTTGACGTGAGGAGGGAAACTGGAGGCTTCAGTGAAACAGAGAACGGGATGGTATAGTGTGAGAAGGGGATGCTGAAACTTTGGATTGTTTTTCGATGACTTGAAAGAAAATGGGAGGCTGGAGTTGCAGATAACATGGATATTCAAGCCCAAGTTATGGGGGGCAGTGAGTGAAGCATCAAATGGAAGTTTACTTTTGGTCGTGCTGAAAGAAGGACGAACCACGACATGAGTTGGTTGAAGAAAGTGAAATGAGTGTTCAAGTTCAAGTTCAAGTATGTTTATTGAGATAAGCAATAAATACATCTCAAAGGGATAGAGTAGCTTAGGCTATTTCTACCCCCCAGTGAAATGAGTGTTTGATGTAAAGAGCTTCTTCTATGTCGAGCTCTTTAACTATTATATCTATTGATGATTTCAATGTATTCGTCTTCACCTTCATCATTAATCACCTTTGTGTTTCCTCTCCAGGTTTGGACGCAGCGATGTGGACAAGAGAAATCGTAATTTCCTCAGGTCCGTATTGTGGAAACACAAAATATTTCTTAACATTCTTCTATAACATTTTCTTGAAAATCGAAGGTCCTACTCTTATTTTCGAACATTAACTTGCACCTTATCTGGGACACGAGATTTAATAATTAATTTGGTGTAGAATTTTGAAATGTGTGAACACATATTTTCTGTTTAACATTATTCAGTGGCTTAGTCGTTGTTTCCTTTGATATTATATTGACATTCTTGAATGAAGATACCCAGAAACATACATAAATAGCCTCGCTACCACAGGTTCGGACGCAGTGATCTTGGTGACTACGACAACAGCGACGACGAGACTCTCAACGACTCCCTCGTGAAACGAAGCCGGAACTTTCTGAGATTTGGCCGCTCCGTGAACCGTCAGCTTAACGCCCTGTCTTGTGATGGCTGTGATGAGCACAACTACCCAGGAACCAACCCTATCCCACCACCCATCCCTGTCCAGTCCATGGTTCCCGCCAAGCAAGACATCGCCCACACCATCGAGTCTCCAGAACTCGATGACAGCACTTCTCATCGCATGAAGAGAGCCGCCATTCCAACCGCTAATGATTACGGGTCAATGTCATCCTACAGCCCCATCGCCTGGGCCAGAGGATTCCAGCCTGAAGAACAGATAATCACCGTGTCCTCAGAGGATCCACAGGACGTAAACAAACGCGCACTTGATCGTAACTTCCTGCGCTTCGGCCGTGATCGTAACTTCCTGCGCTTCGGCCGCAATCGTAACTTCCTCAGATTTGGCAAGCGGGACAGATCCAACGAATACCGGCCATCCTCGCCCTCCGAGTCCAGCGAGTCCCTGGTGGCGGTGAGTCCAGCTGAGTACTCCCGCAACGTGAGGGCGCCCCAGAGAAATTTCCTCAGGTTCGGTTGAAATAGAAGAGAAAACCGGCCACCACTCTTAAACCAAATAAAAAATAATTGCATCAGAAAGACTTCGACCGCGTGTCTGATCGTCTCTGGTTAAAGATCGTCAGTGATGTTCATCTGAAGACACAAGCCGATCATTAAACCCGGAAGATGGTAATGTTGTCACCAGCTGTAAGGAAGGAACTGACCTTCTGGCGACCATTATACGTCCAAGACAAACCTTACTAATCCAGAACGAGTACCTAAATAGCCTAATGTAAGCACTAAGAATAAGTTTTTTGTAACAGAGAGAGAGAGAGAGAGAGAGAGAGAGAGAGAGAGAGAGAGAGAGAGAGAGAGAGAGAGAGAGAGAGAGAGAGAGAGAGAGAGAGAGAGAGAGAGAGAGAGAGAGAGAGAGAACTGAGACTTTTCATATCTACAAATAAGAGAAAGAAAAGACTGTATCAGGCCAATAAGGTGCCAAACGTATCCAATATCAGAGATGAACAATGACACTTTACCCCGGTAGGGGAGAGAGGAGACATGGTCGGTGGGCGGCCAATGGCCATGTAGGGGAAAAAGGGGGCGTGGTCAATAGTGGGCGGGGCAAGAGGCCAGGGGAGGTGATGGGAGTGTGGGAGTGTGGGTGGGTGGGGTTGTCAGAGGTTGATATAGGGCTCTCACCCAGCCACACCATCGCACTCTCACACACTACCATGACAAGGTAAGTCGCTCCTGCCTCCTCCAGACTGCTAGGAACCACTTAGCACACAGGAGTCCTGTGTGCTAGGAACCTCCAAGGTACTGGTGACTCCCTCCACACACACACACACACACACACACACACACACACACACACACACACACACACACACACACACACACACACACACACACACACACACACACACAGTAACCAGTGTACTTCTCTCATCCTCAGGTCTTGCGTGATGCCTCTAGCAGCCTGGGTGTTACTGGCAACCTTTACCTGGTGTTCCTACGCCCACGCCGCCCATGCTGCCCCAGTCCCGCCCGTCGCAGCCGCCCTCAGCTCTCCCTCTCAGGGCTTCGGCTCCAACAACAGCGAAGACGACTCCGTAGCTCAGCCTGAGAAGAGATTACTCAAATATTTCCACCCAGGAAGCCAGGCATGGATGGACGATGGCGGAGACTTGTACCCCATCAGTCAGGAGGGCTCCAAGAGAGCCTACAGCGATAGGAACTTCCTGAGGTGAGCATGTAATTGGTGTTGTTGTTGTTGATATTTGGACGAGGACGACTCTTGTGTTATGATACTACTGAGGTGAGGAGGGAACCTGGAGGCTGGAGGGAGACAGAAAATGGGAGGTATGGTGTGAGAATGGGAAGTTGAAATTAGTGAGACTTTGGATGACTTTAAAGAAACATAATGGGAGGTATACGGTTCAGACAACATGGAGATTAAAGGCCAAGTTATGGGTGACAGTGAACTGGTTGATCATATATGATATGAGCCGAGTGATGATTGAGTATGTGTGTGTAATGTAAAGTGCTTCCGCTATGTCGAGCTCTAGTTCTTATTATATCTGTCGATGGTTTCTATGTCTTTATTTTCTTCCTCTTCATCATTAATCACCTTTGTGTTTCCTCTCCAGGTTTGGACGCAGCGATGTGGACAAGAGAAACCGTAATTTCCTCAGGTCCGTATTGTTGAAAAACTTTTTATTTCATAACATTCTTTTATAATATCTTTAAAATGGAAAGTCTTAATCTGATTTTGGAACGTTGCAAAATTATTTTGAAACTTATTTTGGAACTTAGCAGTTTAGTAGTTTTTGCGTATCAATTGTTAGCCCCTCGATATTTTGTTGTTAAATATTGACTTTCTTGTATGATGATACCCAGAAACATGCATAAATAGCCTCGCTACCACAGGTTCGGACGCAGTGATCTTGGTGACTACCACAACAGCGACGACGAGACTCTCAACGACTCCCTCGTGAAACGAAGCCGGAACTTTCTGAGGTTCGGAAGACCCGACATGGAGGACATGTTTGTCGTTGGAGGACCCATGGAGTTCTTAAACAGTCTGGAGGGTGAGGTGGTCAAGGACGACCTTCCCTTAGAGAAGCAGGCTGCATACAGGTAAGAAATGGGGCACCAGAGGTCAAAGTTAGATACAATTATTCCCATTACTTCTGTTTTGTTCAACACACGTCGAAGGGGCAAATATACGTAGATATTTGGAGTTGAGTAGAAAGGAATGAAAATGGGATAGATCTTCTTGCAAATGCACCAGACCAGCACCATAATTGTGTGATATAGGTTCAAAAAACGGTACAAAAGCTTAAAGTATGGGAACAAGATACTAAAAATATGCCGCAGTGGAATGAATATATAGTGGACCCCAGATGTAACATATCATCCAGTCAGACCTCTCCACTGCTGGAGGTAGTTCCCGAGTCCTTTATCCTGTTCAAGTTGTCAGATATATTTTGTATATCAGAATTTCCTTCACACAATTCTCTATTTTATATTTACCATGTTTCTCCAGCAGACACGGTCGTAGCCGCAACTTCCTGAGATTTGGCCGCTCCGTGACCCGGCAGCTCAACGCCCAGTCTTGTGATGGCTGTGATGGACCCAAAACCCAAGGAAACAACCCCACACCCTCCTCTCCCACTCCGGTCCAGCCAAAGGCCTCTGCCAAGCATGACGTCGCTCACAAGATCGAGTCCTCAGAACCCAGGGAGAGCACTTCTCAGCGCATGAAGAGAGCAGCTGATCCAACCTTTAATGACTACGGGTCAATGTCATCCTACAGCCCCTCCTCCTGGGCCAGAGGATTCCAGCCTGAAGAAGAGATAATCACCGTGTCCTCAGAGGATCCACAGGACGTAAACAAAC